ATAAGCTTGTAATCAATATATAAACTTAGAATAGTAGATATTCGTTTATTAATTGAAATATTCAAAAAAAAAAATTTGTTAGCAGCACATTGATTATAATTACAATTTGTTTGCTTGTTTTTTTTTTTTAATCTAAAAAATCATAACATATAAATTGACTAAATAAATTTAAAAAAAGTCAGTTTAATTATGTGTATATCATAATCCATCATTTACAAATTTAAAAAATAAAAGACTAATTTTAGCCCTTAAGAGGGCTGTTTGGGTAATTGTTTTTTTTTTCTTCTTTGCTTTTGATATCACTTAATTTATGATCCAAAACCATATAAAGTACGTCCTTGTCGTTTAAGTGCATAAACAACATCCATAGCTGTAACAGTTTTTCGTTTAGCATGTTCAGTATATGTAACAGCATCACGAATAACATTTTCTAAGAAAATTTTTAATACACCACGTACTTCTTCATAAATAAGACCACTAATACGTTTAACACCACCACGTCGAGCTAAACGACGAATAGCTGGTTTTGTTATACCTTGAATATTATCACGAAGTACTTTACGATGACGTTTAGCACCACCTTTGCCTAAACCTTTACCACCTTTACCACGACCGGACATTTTATTTTATAAATTTGTTTTTTATTTGTTTTAATAATGATCTATAATGTAATGTTCTATACATTCGTATTATATATATCATGAAGATAAAACATTCATCGGTTGGTCAGTTAAGAAACTATGTTTATAAACCAATCAGAAAAACAAAAGAGAGAGAAAGAAGAACAAACAAAAAATCAGCTGTTCATATTATCTACAAACATACATGTATTGAAAAAAAAAGTCAGCCAAAAATTGAGAGAATGTAAAAATCAAAAAGTTATTGAATGCAAAATAAATAAAATATCAATGTTAGAGATTGAGTGATTTAGAAAGAGGTTGGAAGGACAATCGTTCTTCTATTCCGAATTTTATTTTTTTGATAATTTTCAACAGCAGACGATTTGATACTGACTTCAAACAATGTTTTCTTTTTTTTTTTTTATTATCATTGCATTCCTTTCCGATGCAATATCTTAGATCCACCGCTGATTCATATTAATTTCATACATCAATAATCTCTTGTCTAAACAATTCAGATGTATTTCGTTATTGAAGAAAAAAAAAATATTTTGATAATACAATGTGAAAAAACGAAATGAAAAAGTTCATTCAACTCAATAGAAAGGTCACCGTCCAATAATAACGATAAAGATTGATTCATCGGATAGGAATGTGAAATCACGTATTATTCGTTCTATTGTTATGCTTTATAACATAAAAAGAAGAATATATGTCGAAAGAAAGTTGAATATTTCTTTTCTTTTTTTTTTTTGAAAGCAAAACAATTGTTTTCAATGCGTATAACGTCAGATAAATTCAATAAGTGAATGAAAAACTTTAACGTTATTTTATTCCTAGTTTTATCATTGCAGAAGATTTTTTTTTTTGTTCTATTTCGAATTCTATTATTCAAAAGAATAATAATGCAATTAGTAACTATCAACAATAAAAATTTCATCTAATAATTAATAAATCGATATAAAAAGTCATGAACAATCAATTTCAAAAAATTCAGTTTATTAAATTCGAGATGCCAACATTTATGAATAAGAAAATTTTAGTAGCCCTAAAGAGGGCTGTTTGGGTTTATAAATATTATCCAAATATGGTCTATTTAGCACTTGTATATTTGGTAACAGCTTTTGTACCTTCAGATACAGCATGTTTAGCAAGTTCACCTGGTAATAAAAGTCGTACAGCTGTTTGAATTTCACGACTACTAATTGTTGATCGTTTATTATAATGTGATAAACGACTTGATTCAGCAGCAATACGTTCAAATATATCATTAACAAATGAATTCATAATTGACATAGCTTTTGATGATATACCTGTATCAGGATGAACTTGTTTAAGTACTTTGTAAATGTAAATTGAATATGTTTCTTTACGTTTACGTCTGAGTTTTCTACCCGTACTTTTAGGACCAGTTGTTCCTTTTGATGTTTTTGTAACAGCCTTCTTGGCTCCTTTCGACGGTGTTTTTGGTGGCATATTGAGTTTTTTTTTGCGATATACGAATGAAAAGAAAAAAGATGATTTCCTTCGTTCTTATACATACATGTTGTATTTTTGCTTAGTTGAACAACCAATCATTAATGTTTTAATATGATTGGTTTGAAATGTTGTTCATTACATGGACATATATAAGATGAAGACAATACATAGATACATTCTCATTTCATTTTTCGTCAAGTAAAGAAAAAAAAAGCAAATCAAAATATAATGTCTGGACGTGGTAAAACTGCAGGAAGTGGTAAAGCACGAGCTAAAGCTAAAACTCGTTCATCACGAGCTGGTCTTCAATTTCCAGTTGTAAGTATAAATTTTATAACAAAAAAAAAAAAAAAAAAAAATTCATTTTTATCTAAAATAGGGTCGTATTCATCGTCTTCTTCGACGTGGTAACTATGCCGAACGTGTCGGTGCTGGTGCTCCAGTTTACTTAGGTGCCGTACTTGAATATTTATCGGCTGAAATTCTTGAATTAGCAGGCAATGCTGCACGAGATAATAAGAAAACACGTATTATTCCCCGTCATCTTCAATTAGCCATTCGAAATGATGAAGAATTAAACAAATTATTATCTGGTGTAACAATTGCTCAAGGTGGTGTCTTACCTAATATTCAAGCTATACTTTTACCAAAGAAGACTGCTGAAGGTGGTGCTGTATCAACACCACGTGAAACATCTGGTTCAGCTGGTCCAAGTAAAAAGAAAACAACTGGTGAAAAATCTGAAAAAGCATCATCAGGTGCTAAAGCAGCTGAAAAAGCTTAAATATGCTTGACTTAATATCATAATACATCAAGATATAAATTGAAAAAACCCAACAGCCCTCTTTAGGGCTAATATTTATTTTAAATTCATAAATGTTGGATATAGTCATACACGAAATTTGAACTTGCTGAGAAAGATTTTAATCAAATCAAGGATAATTTTGTCTATAAAAAAAAAAAATTTTTTTTAATAATGACTTTCGATTTAATTTGTTCGTAAACGAAGTATTGTTATTTTATTTCATAGCTTGGTTTTATGAACAAGGAAAATTCTCTTAAAGAAAAAAGAATAATGAAATATTGTTAAAGATTATTCAATATCTTGAACGAGATATATTTGAAGTTAAGGTATTAATACAAAATTTTGTTCATATTTCTTTTGAAATGATTCAATGAAGACTAACAAAGGAACGATGTCAACTAGTACCGAGCTTTCAACTTAACTGTACATAAGTCTCAGTGAGAATAAGAAAATTCGAGAAGCTGGAGATACAGTAATGTCGTAAATTTACCATAAGATATGACATAAGAAGAATAACAAATAGAAAAAGACATGAAAGCTCAACGATATTTTTCAACCATGTGTGCATCGTCTCCATGTCAGTATATTGACAAATCAGAAATTGGTCATTATTTCATATGAGAAAAATTCAAAAGGCTTGCAAATAAATATTAAATATGAGGTTTTAGTTTTTTTCAATAAATTAATTAGTTCATTCTATTTGAAAGTAATAATAATGAAAGGGTAGATCAAATATATACAAAAAAAATCGAGACTATAATGATGTTTATCAATAAATTACTAAAAAAACGTTTGGTTCTACTCATCACTAAAAACAGTCTATAGATTAAGGATGAATCCAATCTAGTTTACTATAGATCAACACAATGATCTGTTTTATCATCAATTATTATCATGTGTACATGATACACAATAATAATTCTTCGGTTGGAACAAAATGATTAAAGTGAACGTAAATTTTAAAAAATAAACTTTTTTTTTATGAAAGAAAAGAAGATGGGACACTCAAAATTTTTATTTAATTAAAAAAAAGATCTGCGTACCTAATCATAATCAATTTTCTATTTGATTTAATACTGTTTAGATAATAAATTCTTCATTGTTTGACAAAAGTAGAATTTATGATTATGAGAAGATATAAAAATTCCATTAAAGAATATGGAACACTTTATTAAAGGAAAATAATTTCGATGCAGCAAAACGACATATCTGTATCGATCTTTTTTGACTTTTTCTGTCTAGATAACTTTAATTATAAGTATTTTTCTCTAATGATAATCTAATATTTCATATCTCAGATAATTTGTCGAATAATTATATTTTTAAGCTCGAGGAATTCAATTAATTACATTGCATCTGTAAAAATAGTAATGCAATCCATGATGATAATCGTTTCTTTTGTTTAGTTTTTTTTTTTTGGATGTTGGCGAAATGAAGAGAAGATTCACACCAACATTCACATTCACGCATTATTTTGGTATTGTAAACAAAATTTCTTTCGAAGCGTATAAGTGTTTGTGTGACTTGTTCTTTATCCATTTACTATTTTATTATTATTATCTTAAGAGCCTCTTATGCAGTTTGATAAATTCCGAAATATTCGTAGTGATTATTTCCAAAAGTAAGAACTTGATCACTCCGTTCTTTTGTCTGCGTAATTAATTGAATTCCTACACATATCAATTTATCAAGAAAATAAATATTCCTAACTTACAAGAATAGATCTTGAGAAAAAAAAAAAGTTTTTTCTTTCTATTGATATTTAACTAAATCAATTTTGGTTGAGTATGATGACAATTAGTTTATCTTCATTATTATCCTTGAGCTATTCTAACAAGTAAACGCTAAAAATAACATAGAAACAGAAGTTCTACCTATCTATTTCGCTCAAAAGTGAATAGCGCTTTGATCAAGTTTCTTATATTATTACATCAACTGAAAGATGATGATATATATATATATAATAGAATTATAGGATCCTATCTAGTTTTCGCCAGATAGCATAACTATAAAAGGATTTGGATAAATCTATTGATCTGTTTAATTTTTTTCTTGGAGGTACAATAACAGTATGTCATTTTTCTTTCTTTTAAAAGTATCGAACTACCCATTTTACAAGCTATGGTACTATATTATTCATGTTTTGAAGAAGGCTAATGTTATTTTAACAATGACACTTACAGGAAATGCGTGAATAAGACAATGCAACAATGTTTATTTGTTGCATTTTCTGAATCTTTGTTGTCGAGATCATCACACTAGACAAGAATAACTTTTGATGCCTATTTTGGAACTTATTGAAGATTTGAAAATTTTTGTATCATTTCGAGACACAGATCTCTCTAATATAAATCGAATGTGTTTCTAACAACTCACCATTTTCTAGGATATCACAATAAAAAAATGTGCAGGCCGAATGCGGATACAATTGACTACATAAATGCTTTGATTCGCATCATATTAGAAGCTATGTATTCTTTTCAAGGTTTTTTTCCTCAGCAAAAAAAAATCTATTGCAGGTTTTCAATGCGATACTAAAGAATAGAGTCCATTAAGAGGAAGATATACGGTTGATATGATTCTTAAAATAGCAACTCTCAAATTATTTCAGGACGTTCTTTTTTTATTTGTTTTTCATACTGTAAAATGGTGCAAAGGAGTTCAAAAACTTCACAAGTTAGAAAGAGCTTCTAAGTCATCTAAAGTTACTCTTGCATCTCCATTGCGATTTGGTATTCATCAATAACCATAATACTAAGCTAAATATTTCTCTTTTCAAAACTATGCTGATCAATATTTTGATCACTAGGATATTTTAGAGGTTGACCGTAAAAATATTTAAGGTTTACCAAAAGTTCTGATCACGATGTTACTTAGCCATATAGTAAGCTTTAAGAAACTTTCTTTCTATATAGTCTAATAGAGAAAAGAATGCTATTTGATCATATTTCAACTAATATCATGATAATAAATTTTCTATAAGACTTTTTTCGTTATCATTTGTGCTCTAGTAAGTTTCGCGTTGCAATATCCAATCCCTTAATACATTGTATTAACAATCAAAATATACCATAAGATGCAGTATGAAAATCTCTACAGTTTACATAAGATTGCTTATTTTATAGTTGCATTTTTCGTTTTCAAAATGGACAAAATTTTGACTATGTAGGAAAACAAAATACACCACAAGATGCAGCGTAAAAAGTTCTACAATCTTCATAGTAAAGCTTATTGTAATTGTTTTCAAAAGAAAGAAAATTCTGTGCAATCGATTTTTACAATGCCCAAAATTTGGTCTCTCAAAATTTTGTTTATTTTGAAAACGAAAAGTGCAACTATCAAGTAGATAGTCTTATGTCAACTGTAGAGCTTTTCATGATGCATCTCTTATGGTATATTTTGGTTGTTAATACAATGGATTGAAGGATTGAAAACTAACCTACTTCATTCGTTGTGATTTAGTATTACGAGCACAAATGATAACGAAAAGAAGTCTTATTGAAAATTTATTATCATGATATTAGTTGAAATATGATCAAATAGCATTCTTTTCTCTATTAAACTATATAGAAAGAAAGTTTGTTAAAGCTTACTATATGGCTAAATAAACACCGTGATCAGAACTTTTGATAAATCCTAAGTATTTTTTCGACAGGAAAAATGGTTGATAAATATGTTATATAATATGAGTTAATGTTAATATTATAACAGTGATCAAATACAGATAATGAAAAAAATTGATTTATGATTTTTTTCTGCTTAGCAACTATAGGGCTGTTGTTTTATTCAGTTTGAAAACATAGTCATCTGTTACAAGTGAAGATTTTCCTTTATTTGAATTTATAAATGAAATAGTTAGAGACACTGATTGGGTTAAGTCACTTTAAGATGTAGCAGTTTTCAGCCATGACAATAGAATTTTAGTTAATATAATAGTTCTTCGTTTAACTCTCTTATTTAATTTTTATCAAGTATTAGTCATCAAAATCATGACTTGTTAAACTTCTTAACATGAATATGCCATGACAATGATTTAATAAATTGTCTATTTAAATAATTCTATAGATTAACTAAAGTTTTATGACAAACAAGAATTTGATCTGAATGTAAATCAAAAATATATTTAACAGAATTTTTTCGATCAAAATGAACAAAATAACATGAATATTCATAACGAGATTCTTCATTTATATGATTAGATGATGATAGTTTATAATAACATAATGCATTACTTGAATAAGAACGATGAGTATAACACCAGATAAATAGCGGCAATGAGATATACGCTCTAAAATTTATACAAATCAATTTATTTATCAACCATACTGAATAGGATATTTTCTGTGATAAATTAACTAAAGTTAATCTAAAGGATATATTGATTACGAAAGAAAGTTCAAGTGTAAATTTTTTTATGTTGTTCATAGTCACTCAGTTGTATTCATTATATCATTCAATTGAATAATTTAATGGAGAAAACTCAATTATGAAATGTCGGAATAAGTAATTGACGAAAGAGTTGAAAGATTAAGTGTAATAAAATTTTCTTGACCAAAAGTCAAAACTTTAATAAATCCATCATTTTCTGTTGTTGCTAATTCAAGTTTAGTTGGAGGAAATAACATTTAATTCAAATCTTTATTAAAACAAAAATAAAAATAAAATTCTTACTGATTATTATTTGAATTAAATTTCCAAAATCGAAGTTTTCGTTTATTTTAATGATCATCAATATTAGCAATTGGATGAACGTTCTTCAAAATGTAACTAACCATGTATCTATATTATAAATAAATATAGAAAAAAAAATTTTCCGATGAATTTCTTTTACCTGTTGAATCAATAATTAAACGTTTTATATCTGCAAAAAGACATTGTTCAGTTATTTCATTGGATAATACATAATCTTCTCCAACAATATCCAACTACATAACAACAAATTTTAAATAATAAATCTCAAAAAAATTTTCTTTTACATACATTATAAAGTAATTTTCCATTGTTCATAACAATTGTTTGTTGACCTGCAAATACATGAATATCTTCATTTAAACGAAAAAAAAAATCAACAACAGATTATTTTCTTCACTGGGAAAGATCGTTTAAGTATGGTGAAAATGAATATTGTTTAACGAAAACCTTATGGTCAATCATTCTTGTCTTCATATAGATCAATGTATCAAGTAGTCTGCTTATGGACAAAATTTTAGATTAAATTTCCTTCTTTTTAAAATTTGAGTATTTATTTTGAATGATATTCGATAATAGGCTTGTCCTCTGGTTTATAAGGGTTTCTTGACATGCTCTTTCTTTTTGTCTCCAGAAAGTTTTCTCCAAAATGCTCGGAAGATAGGTTTCTATAAAACCATGGTTTTTCAGCTATAGGTGTCGGAAAAAATGAGTTTTCTATAAAAATGAGCGTTAGAAAAAATTTTTGAACATCATATTCGGATTCAGCATCGAAAGACGAACATTTAAAAAAAAAATTCAAGCCTCTAAACCAAACTTGAAATTTACGAATTGAGTT